TAATGGATTTAGGTCAGGGGATCGTGGAGGCCAGGCGAGTGGTCCTCCACGGCCGATCCATCCTTCTGGATAATTTTCGTCCAGCCAGTTTCTAACTATTCTCGAATAATGAGCTGGACAACCATCAAGCTGGAACCATCCCACATATTTGCATGTTCAGCCTTTAAAAATTCCAAGAAGGTCGCAGCATTTAACCTTGCAGGCAAAAGGTAGGGTCCAAATAGTCGATTACGGTAGATACCAATCCACAGGTTCACACTAAATTCATGCTGAAAATTTCTTTCCCGAACTGCATGCGGATTTTCATGCGACCAAATATGTTGATTATGAAAATTTACCACTCCACGTCTAGTGAAGCATGACTCATCGGTCCATAAAACGTTACTTAAAAACTCCCTATTATTATCAGTTCTATCAAGTATCCACTGACAAAATGTGATTCTTCGTTCGCCGTCCCCTGGCTGTAGTCCTTGCACAGGTTGCAAATGGTAAGGACGTCTATGGTCATTTCTAAGAACACGGTGAACATGGCTTGCGGAAATTCCCAAGGCACCAGAAACTCTCCTAACACTTGTGGTCGGATCTCTATCAAACTCACGCAGAATCATACGGGTAAATCTGCGCTGACGAACATTTATGTTTTGATCCCTTTGGAGATTTCCAAAACCATTTTCAATTATTTGGCGATGCACTATTACAAATACTGAGCGAGTTGGATGTCGTCTGTTTGGAAATCTTCGTGCGTATTCTCTGGCTGCTTCTGCTGCGTTTCCATTTACAAAGCCATTCACAAAATGAAAATCCGCTAACTCTTGATTGGAGAATAAAAATGGCATTTTTATAAAACTTACAAAAAAAAAACAGGTAAAAGAAACTAAATTTCATGCATTCACAATTGCAAAAAAACGTTTCAGGTTTCAACAGACAACAAAACTAACTGTCAACTAATTGACGTTTAACCTTATTCTGCTTTCAATTTCGAAAATATTCGCAGGCACAGCCTACTTCTAAAAATTATCGAGATACTGACTTTTTAACGTTATTTTATCATAAATATTTAAAAATGCATCGAACCTTAAAAATCCAAATATCTCAAAAACGGCTAACTATAACGAAAATTCACAAGAGAGCTTTTTTATGTTGAAAAGTGCGAAGAATCAGTTTTTGTTATTCAAAAAGCAAAAAATTGCACCAAGAAAATTTTTTCGGTCATTTTAATACACTACAGGTACAGTAGAGAGCGCCATCTAGCGGCTACAGTAAAACTATGTCTATGGTTCGTTTTGTCGTACCAAAAAACCCTTGTATAACAATTCTCACTGTTATACATCAAATATTGTTCGAAATATTTAAAAAAAAACTATTTTAAAAAGTAAATTTAAACACCCTGTATTTCGGAAGCCACGCATTTTTCGACCCATATTTATATAGACTTTATACATTACTTTTAAAAGTTCTATCGAATCTCAAAGTTATGCAACAATAAACTGAAACACCCTGTATAACAGGTTTTAATCAAACGCAACCTTCAAAGATCTCTTGATATCACACAGTAACGTTGCTTCAAAAACAAAAGATAACTTCAACCACATAAGCCGCTGTTTATCAAACTTACCATGCACGTTGTGTTTTTTTCACATCGGAGCAGCCGCACAGGCGGAAGCTAAATGCCAGGGCATCGCGGCTGCTGTGCATAAAGAAACTTTGTGATCATGCTCTAATCTTAAAAACATTTTTTCATCTTTTTTTTTTAGATCAGAGTAAGATAATTCTGGTTTACTATCATGCAAATACTACAAGATAAGCACTAGCCGCCAATCGTTGCACTTCACTGTAAAGTGGAATTTTATAAATATAATTATTTTTCAATAATAGCCCTAGTTTGCGAGATAATTATAAAGCCTGGTTTTATTGCTGCAAGTTGTTCAAGGAGGTATTCAAATCATAGATCTTAGGTATTTATGAGTTCAGTAAAATGAGACTACAGGTAATTGCAAAAAAGTTATGGCCTAAAACCGAGGTTTTGGCACTGTTTTCCGGCCATCACTACTAGTTTATATTGAGCAACATACAGGGTTCATTCAAAGACCATGTAATAGCAAACAGGTGTATTTTGCTATTAAATATTCTTTGAATGAACCCTGTATAATTGCTCAATAATCTAGTAGTGATGGCCGGAAAACAGGTGTTTTGGGATAAATAGTTAGAAATTCTTCAAAACTACTTCACCAATATAATCCAATTCGGTTGTTGTTATTTAGAAGTATGAAACCTACGGAATCTGAAGAATTTCAAGTCGTTGCGTGAAATTATCGTCACATTACCAACAACTGCCAAAAACTGCATTTTGCCACGTTTTTGGGCCATAAAATTGTTATTATTATATATTATCTTTTTACGTGTAGTCTCATTTTGTAGATTTCATAAATACCTGAAAATCTTATAGAAAAAGTTTTTTCGTTTTTGCCGAAACTTTTTATTGAATCCCAAAAAACAGGTTTTCTCATTCTTTGTTGTCGAATAAAAAGTTTTCCCACAAAAATTGGTGTACCCATTTTATGCTTCCATGTTTTGAATACCCCCTTGGACAACTTGCAGCAATAAAACCAGACTTTTCAATTATTTTGCGGCGAAATTTGCTAATATAATTAGACTACTATAGCACATATTCCTCACAAGTTTGGAGCCAGTGTCGTGCGCAAATAGTAAATTGTCAGATTGTTCGTGGTTTTATTAATAACATGAAAATTCTTTGTCCGATTTTGGTGTTAAAATTTTTATTTTGCGAGTATCTCACGGCTAAAAAATTGACCAAGGTTAATTCTATTGGCTATAAAATAACTTGAAAATGATTTTAACCCTATTTTTCGCAAATAAAAAAGGTTGAACATTTTTCCTGGCACGACTCATATCCTCGTTCAATAACCACATATTTTCACCAAATAATCTATCCACTTACTTTAGTTCGATTTTCGCTAGAATGCCTGGATTAAAATTCGTCGTTGTAAAAATATGTACTTAAAGCACTGTTTTGCTATCAGGCCAACTTTTGTGAAATCTCTCTCAATCGTGGAAAATCGGTACATTGAATAAAAAAGGAAAATTGGATCTACAGAGCTTTTCGTACCTATCAACAACTACCAGCAACAACAATCTGAAACAAAAAGAAGCAGCCTTCATTTGCCAGACAACGCAACATATTCCAATACAACAGGGACAAGTACAACGAAAAAGATAATAAATGGAGATGGAAAGGAGTTCAAAGGTGGTGACGACTTGCCTAGTGTTCCTATTTGTTGCAAGTGTAATGCTGAGATTGCTAGGTAACCTTATTAACATTCTAATGATTTGCTTGATGAGTGTAACATAAATAATGTTTACTGATAGTGACGAATTTAAAAGTGAATTTGTTACGTCTTGATTCTTACCCTTAAAGCTTTCACACAGCACCCGCAGGGTTATTACGTAAAAAACTATATATGTTATGTCAAAAAAACTACAAAATGTCAACTTGCTGACTAGATAGCTCTTAGTGTGCAAATATACTAAGTGACATATAAATCTGAACACCCAGTTTAAATGGTTTTATTTTAATAAAAGTTGGTGAATGTATTTATCGTACTGTAAATAACAAGTGAAAAAATTTTCAGCCTTATCAGTTGGACATTCCGGTTTTTATACTGCTTTTTTTTTTTATTCACGAACGCTCTAAAAATGAATATTTCAGCCGCAGTAAAGAATCAACGTTGGCGGATTTTGGTTCTTGACATCCTTTACGATCGGTTACGATGCCTAGAGTACGGAGACCTGTACGATTTCGTCAACTTAGTGAGTTTGATAGGGGCCGTATAGTGGGACTTCGGGAAGCTGGACTTTCTTTTCGGGCAATTGCAATTAGAGTGCAAAGAAGTGTAGACACTGTGGTTAGGTATTGTCAGGCATGGCTTCGAGAAGGCCGTACGCAAACAGCAAGGGGCACTGGACGCCGCCGTAGAACAACAGACCGTGAAGATCGCCGCCTAAGATTATTGGCCTTAAGGGACCGTTTCTCCACTACCAGGTCCAATGCAAATGAATGGTTTGCAGAACACGGAAGACCTATTGGCATGCGAAGTGTTTACCGACGAATGAGAAGTTTTGGCTTGTTTTCATACCGGCCACACTGGGTCCTCCCTTTAACTCGAGAACACCGACGTAATCGCCTTGAGTGGTGCAGACAACGGTCACTCTGGGATCAGGAATGGAACAGTATTGTCTTTAGTGACGAGCCTCGATTTTGTTTAGGCATGCACATGTTGCAAGAGTCACAATAGACTTCTTTCAACATAATGATGTCACATTGTTACCATGGCCACCAAGATCTCCCGACTTATCCCCAATTGAGCACGTGTGGGATATGATGGGTAGGAGATTGCTCAATTTGCAACGTCCTCCTCAGACTCTGGAAGCACTTCGAGAGGAGTTGGTGGTTGCCTGGAATGAGATACCACAGGAGGACATTGACCACCTGATCAGAAGCATGCATAGGCGCGTTGGAGAATGCTTAGCACATCAGTGTGCATCCACACATTATTAAAGGTCAAAGGGCTTTAAAGCAGTGCAATCATTTTGAAATTCTTATCATTTACTTATTATGCTTCATTAAGTACTTATACAAAATTTTATTAAAATAAAACCATTTAAACTGGGTGTTCGGATTTATATGTCACTTAGTATACTTGTAAATGAAATCTTATAGTATGTTATATCAAATTTCTCCGTTTGAAAACGCCTATCTGAGTCAGCAATAAGACGTAGGACTATTCCATTTAAAAAATATACTTTTGGCCACTTTTTTAATAAAACATTAGTAGAAGATAAGGGTAAGATTTAAACATTTTCAGTCGATTTAAAAAAATGTTTTTGTTCGTAACCTCGTCATTCAAGGTAAAAATAGTTATCTAATTTATATTGAGAAGAAGATCCAAGAAACGATTAATCTATTATTTTTCAATCTTCAGAGGTCCATTCATAACGGCACTAGGAAAAATCTGGTGTCCGAATCACTTCATCTGCGCTACACCATCGTGTAGAAGACCTTTGCAAGATCTTGGTTTTGTAGAAGAAAAAGGACAACTCTACTGTGAATTCTGCTTTGAAAAGTATCTGGCACCGAGTTGTGCAAAGTGCGGTTCCAAAATCAAAACCGTAAGTCGCATCTTATTATTTTCAGAATAATATGTATAACAATCAAACCAATTTTTGTACATACTTTACAAGGTTTTGCGCACAATTAAAACATTTGGTACACCTGCTCTTCAAAAAATAGCAGTAGCTGATATATGATATAAGAAATTACAATAAGTCGCCTATTCATGATGCCTGTTCGGCATTTCTTGAAAAAAATTCCTGCGCTGCCATGAAATTGGCTGATAAAATATGTCCCTTTTTCCAGGATTGCTTGAAAGCTATTGGCAAGAATTTCCATCCAGAATGCTTCAACTGTGTCTACTGTGGAAAGCTCTTCGGCAACTCGTCATTCTTCATTGAAGACGGCAGCCCATATTGTGAAGCTGGTAAGCATACACTTTCTCCATACATAACATGGAAGCATAAATTAACTTCTGTGACAATAGACCACTTCATTCATATCTAATTTCATAGAATAAGTGAATACAGCAGACGCTCGACAACGTAAACACGGGATAATGAAAACTTGCGCTAATGTAAACACAAACTTCGTTCTATAGGATCAAACGGAACGCGCGATAACGTAAACAACGTGTACGCTCGATAACGTAAACAACTCTCGGCGCACGGAAACAGTGCGACGGTAAAATGCTGAAGCCTCGATGATTTATGTCGGGCGTCGGGGAGTCCCCGATTTATGATGTAGAATGTAGGGGATTCACCTCTGCGATAAAATACGACAAACTCGGTCAGTCGTATGATCGTTTAGGATACGTTTATACGTACGTATGTATTTCATTTTTGAACTTAAGTGAATACATTACACGCGTTAATATTTTTTACTATTATGGCATCCACATCCTATAAAAGTAAGTGTTTAAAGTTGAGTGAGAAAATGAAAATCATAGACGAAGTTGCACTAGGTGCGGGAGTGACACAGTTAGCAAAAAAATATGGAGTATCGAAAGCAACAATCTGTAAAATTAAGCGTATGAAAACTCAAATTTTACAAAGCACGTGCAATACATTTGGAGGTCCGGGAAAAAGAAAAACTTAAAAAAATGCGAAGGGACCTAAAATGGAAAATTCCCTGTATAAGTGGTTTTTAAAACAACGGGAAAATCATGTCCCAGTTAGTGGCGAAGTACTTAAACAAAGAGCGAGACTGTTAAATGAAAAATTGAAAGAAACTGAAAATTTCGTAGCTACAACGATTCAAAACAAGATATGGAAGTCGACTGCTGTCTATATCTGGTGAAAAATTATCAGCACAACCACAATTAGCGCAACCATTCAAAGAAAAATTGATGAAAACAATTACCGAGCTAGATTTAAGAATGGAACAAATTTACAACGCAGATGAAAGTGGCCTTTATTGGAAAATGTTACCAGAGAAAACCTATGCTGCATCATTTGAAAAATCTGCCCCGGGAAGAAAGCCAGAGAAACAACGAATAACGTTTCTAGCCTGCACTAATGCTAATGGTTCACACAAAATAAAGCCACTGGTAATTGGGAAAGCAAAAATCCGCGCTCATTTAAAAATGTTAATATCCCTGTTGATTATGACTGTTCAAAAACCGCTTGGATGACTAGCAGTATATTCCTGAAATGGTTCCACAGGTGCTTTGTCCCTCAGGTATGACAATCAATTATCACAAATGCTCTATTCATAATTTGAAGATGTGTTTTCAATTTGTAGGTAAAAGGTTTCCTAAAACAACAGGAGCTTCCAATAAAAGCGTTGTTACTATTGGACAATGCACCAAGTCATCCTCCCGAGCAACAACTGAGGAGCTGGGATGGGGCAATTTTCGTCATGTACATGCCGCCCGACGTAACACCGTTAATTCAACCGATGGACCAGAATTTAATAAGACTCACCATATACTATAGGAAGTTTCTACTTTCGTCTCTCTTATCAAAGAATCCTGAAAACTTATCTGAGGCTTTAAAAAAAGTAACATTACGAGAAGCTGTTTTAGATTTACATATGGCCTGGAATGAACTTCACCAGCAAACTATTCAAAAATGTTGGAACAATCTCTTTTGTACCAATAATGAAGATGATGAAGAAGACGATGTCCCCTTAAGCGTAGTGTTATTAGTGTATCATTGGATGTTGTTGATTTATTGAAAACAGTGAATCCCAGCATTGTTTGTACTCCTGCTGATATTAATTTATGGAACGAAGATACGCAGACGAATGATGCTGATAAGGAGGAGGATATGGACAGTGAGGATGATGAGAACGATCCCATTGAAGTCAGAAGTGTAGTGACTGACGCGCAAGCTATACAAGTTTTTAACCAAGCTTTAGATTGGGCTGAAAGAAAAGAAGTTTCATACACGGATATTTTAGTTCTTCGTAAATTACCGGCGCAGGCATTAGAAGACAATGCTAAGCGCAAATTTTGGCAGACAAAAATTGTTAATTATTTTTCTTCGAATTAAAAAAATACTTATCGCTGTTAGAATATTTGTTTATTTTGTTATAAATAGTATGTGTATTAAACGTTTCTTTTAATAAATCAAATATTATATAAATCACGTTCGCTAATGTAAATATTTCGATAATGTGAACCACACCTGGATTAAATTAGTTTACATTATCGAACGTCTGCTGTATTTCCTACAGTTTTTAGCTTAGGAAAACGAAATGCATCGATTTCAATTTTAAAAGAGCAAGATGGATGTATAAGTTCAATTTAAATAACTTGTTTATCTTCAATATTAACCGGTAAAAAAACTATTGGTCATGATGTGACGTCATTAAATTGTTAATAGAAAAACGTCATCCGTATGTCACTCGTGGACGTGGACTAACGTTATCTTCTTTAACTATCTCTAAAAAACCATTACCCAACGCAAAAGTTCTCGTTTTCACCTATCGAAGCAAAATATATTTTTAGATTAAAGTATTACGGTGTGGAAAAAATATAATATTAATTTTTTGGTCTAGCCTAATAAATATTAACTATTTAAGATGAAGTGTCAACTAGCCTACTGATGATGGCGTGTTATTTGCCCGATATCAAGATTCAGTGACTTTTGTAACCATTCTCAAATTTAAAATTGAAAGAAAAAGGACATTGCTCCTGGGTTAAATCAAAACCATTCTGAAGGATCAATGTGCAACACAAGAGCAAAACTGACAGCCGGTTTGTTGTTATATGAAATTAAAAACATGTTCTTTTTGTAGATTGGAATGAGCTTTTCACAACAAAGTGCTTCGCATGCGGATTTCCAGTTGAAGCAGGCGATCGTTGGGTAGAGGCTCTAAACAATAACTACCACAGCCAGTGTTTCAACTGTACGGTAAGTTTACCTCATTGGACGAATAACAACTGTCTTGCAATGGCCAGTAACAACAAATATAAAGTCTCCTTTTAAAATGATGATAATAATACATTTATGGCCCAACATTGTCCCTATCATATGTATAAATGTATAAACATATCATTGTTCATTAGAAGCAGCAACTCTTATTTTCAAAAATAAATCAAAGTTTGAAACGTTCAATAACATTAAATATTCGTTACACTATTACACCAAAACAAGATCTTAAATAGTAGTACCTAAAACAAAACTTGTGAATCTATAATGGTCTGACCATTTACGTGTGTCTTCCTGATCCTAATCAAAGGAGCATTTTAAATATATTCTGCCGTGAACGTCAGACAATAAAACATATCTATCTAACGTATATATTTTATACTTCTAGATGTGCAAGAAGAATCTGGAAGGACAAAGCTTCTTCGCCAAGGGAGGTCGCCCGTTCTGCAAGAACCACGCTCGCTAAACAGCTCAAACGTCATTTACTAATGTTACCAAAACTTCGCTTTAAAATATTAATTTATTAATACGTACACCATGTAAAGTGTTAAGTCAATTTTATTAATTTCTATCTTATATCTCCACCAACTAAATAACATTGTATTCCTATATTTTATTTATTTATTTTTAGTGCCCTTGGCTCAATGAGGATGGAGGAGAATTTTTCAATTCCATTTCTATCGTAGCCATTATATTACTTTCTGGAATATTGAAACATTTGCATCTACTTCAGTACCAGCGAGCCCCCATTGGCCAGCTGGCCGTAAATGCCTGGGGGTGGCAGCGACAAGCGGCAGAGTGATGCGAAATAAGTGATGTTTAAATAGATTATAATTTCATCATCTTAGCGGAATTGGAAAGATCTTTGATATTTATGTATTTATTATACTATTTTAATTATGCACAGTTCCATGATGGAGTGACTAAAAGAAGGTACTCGATAATAATTTACACTTGAATTAACGTGTTTGGTACTATGGAAGAATTACATGATCAAACGAACTTACCTGTAAGTGATGTTCGATCTTAATTATGTGAAGACCTCCTAGCTCCCTCTCTCCCTATGTTCCACCCAATTGTTGCAACAACTTGGCTTTGAAGAAAATTTCGCTACATGCATGCTTTGAACTCGTGTATTCGGTGAGCTACGAGGGTACCACGTTATGTATTCTAAACATTTACTTCGACGAGGACGGAACATAATAACATTCGTATATAAATAAATTGCTGATGAGAAAATATTTGATACAACCTTGTAACAATTACTAGAGCATATATATCAAGATGATAAGAATCAATGGATATTTTCTTCTGCTTATAGTTACTTCATGATGGAACTTAATTCACTCTTAGATTATAGCCATGCGCATTGTAAATTTTGTTTATAGATTTTAGATTGTGTCATCATATGTTCTATGCAAAATTTTATCGGAATTTGTAGATACATATCTAGGTCAATTATTTTCGTTGGCGTTTCTTTAGTCATCGTACGAATTTGTTTGTGATTTGTGCCATTAAAATAAAAATTTTATGTAGATTTTAGAAGGACTGTTTATCTAGCACAGTGTAAAAATAAATATTTTGGTGCTAAAATATTTTTTTTATTTCAAACCTATCACCGTAAAAATGTCCAGAGATCACAAATTCTGCAACAGCTGGTGGATTGAATAAATACACATGTTATGCTCTGAAGAGTTTATTTCAAATAGAATCAAGGCAGTGACATATCGATTGTAAACAGTAGAATATTTTTTAGTTGATCTGCTCAAACTTGTAGACAAACGTTTAGTTATTGTTATCAACATGTTTTCTAGAACCTTCACTGTACATTTTGGACATTGTACAGGTGAATCTGTAATGTGTTTCTGTAAATGTTTTTTCTACAAGCTCAAACAAAAATCGTACAATTATGTCCAAGCAAAGCAATAATCCGAATGAAATCCCTATAGTGATTGAAATCGGTAAGCTACACTGACTGTCAATAACGACAAATTGAAAATTTCTCTGATGATGAAATACAGGGTGACGCATCGAAAACGAGACTTTTTTTTTGGAAAATCGCTCAGACCCGTCGATTTGGTTTGCGAGGGTGACACAAGTTTGGCAAAAAATCACGTTAGCACGTGCAGCCCCCTGGGCGGGGGTGACACCAACCCTAAAATCTTAAATGGAAAGGGGGTCGAGTGATACCTTATTTTAAAGGTCTTTCAATTCCCTTTATAGTGATGTCAAATACATGAGCTTCAGTTCAGTAGTTTTGAAGATTTATTGATTTAAAACTTAAAGTAGACTTTAATAGGTCCATCAGATTAGTTTGTACTACTTTCAGAAAAAATTAGACTAAAAGAATTCACTTCTGCAACAGTAACGTATATCGAAAATAGGTTCCAGAACTTGTAGCTAAATTTCGGGAAACTGGGTCAGTCGCCAATAAAAAACGCAACATTGAAAATCCCATAAGGAACGAAGCAACATAAGTGAGGGTTTTAGGGCAAGTTTATGTAGATCCTACGTTAAGTACCCGCAAATTGGAGACTGTGTGTGGTGTTAGTCGACGTACTGTCCAACGGATTCTAAAGGCTCATAGGTTTCATCCTTATAAAATTCATTAATTTACATTAATTTTATATCATTATAAAGGGAATTGAAAGACCTTTAAAATGAGGTATCACTCGACCCCCCTTTCCATTTAAGATTTTGGGGATGGTGTCACCCCCGCTTAGGCGGCTGCACGTGCTAACGTGATTTTTTGCCAAACTTGTGGCCACTCGAAAACAAAATCGACGGGTCTGAGCGTTTTTTCAAAAAAAAATTGAGCTGCCAGTAAATGCGGCTGTTTCGTTTTCGATGCGCCACCCTGTATAATGGAGAATGATTTTTATTTATCCCGGAGTCCAATGAACATCACATGCAGTCAATGATCATAACGTTAAAGAAGGATTGATGAGGAATTTTTGGACTGTCCATACGTGAACCTTACCGGGAAATTTTGAGCAAAACTTTTGCGTAAACGACTCGACGTGCTTTTAGAAGAATACATATTGGCAGCACATCATATTAGAGCAAAAGATTAGAAGGCTTGTTTGGCAGTATAGAAAAGAACATGTATTCTCAAACGGGTGGTATCCAGACGTCTCCAGTCATGCAGAGTTCTTCTAGCAAGTACTCGCTAAGCTGTCCTTCTGATGCCGTAGGGTGCTTATTGGCCAGCTCCTTCGCTGTCCTGGTGAATTTTGTCACCTGAATCGAAATTTCACATCAGACTAAACGTCTACATACTACGCAGTTTGGATTAATAAGAATGTCCGCATTAAGAAGTTGTTACTAGGCTCAGTAAATTTCTCAAACAATACATTGTTTCAACAAATGTTCAAGTAGTAGCTTTTCTAGCTTCCTTTCTTATTCACTACAAGGTCATCCCCTGTCTATTTTTACTACTATAAGAAAACTAGTGGGAACTAACTAACTAGGGAGTATTTTAATCACTTTAGCATTCTGTGATGCTTTTGTAAATAATGACTTTACTGTTTTTGTATCTACACATATATGTTTCTGAATTTTATGGTCTTTAAATGCACCACCCATTTCGCCTAACCTTTAATTATTCCGCCTATGATGGGTCTCTGAATGTTTCGTCAAGTAGATTGACTCAGCACCCATGACGCATTGTTATACAACATGCGGACTGACAAACCGAGATAAATGAGAAACAAGGAATTGCGTAATGCAGATATCTTGAAGCAACAGAAAACTTGTGAACCTGAGTTCGAATATTATAACCAGTTTAATACTTCCACTGTTTAGGTAGTCGTAGATTTTGAAAATAGATTCAAAGGCGGCGGAAATAAAAATCTCTGGAACATAGTGCCACAACGTTTCAGACCTGCTCTATTTCAGACATAGTTTGGTGGGGATGAAAATTTTAGGTTGGAAGCTCTTATATAAATCTATTATAACTATGTGAAATGATTTGGATTCAAGAAGAACATGAAACAGTTAAACCGTGTAGCGCTTGTAGTTGCTAGGCCAAAAGTCCAGCCAGATTTATAGTAGCATTTTTTCTCCTCGTTCTTGAATAAATTTTATAGCTTATACACTAAGTAAAATGTTTTGACGGCTTCAACTTTTACGGTATCTATACTAAGTGAGTGGTGCAGACAACGTTCACTCTGGGATCAGGAATGGAACAGCATTGTCTTTAGTGACGAGTCTCGATTTTGTTTAGGCCAGGGTTAGAAGGCGACGTGGTGAAAGGAGGAATCCACAGTTTTTTGTTGAAAGACATGTTCATCACACTGTTGGAGTTATGGTTTGGGGTGCTATAGCTTATGGTTCCAGGTCACCTTTAATCTTCATCAGAGGTAACATGAACGCGCAGCGTTATATCCACGAAGTTCTAGAACCCCATCTTTTACCCTATCTTGACACCCTGGCAGATCCAGTTGGTGGTTGCCTGGAATGAGATACCACAGGAGGACATTCACCACCTGATCAGAAGCATGCCTAGGCGCGTTGGAGAATGCGTAGCACATCAGGGTGCATCCACACATTTTATTAAAGGTCAAAGGGCTTTAAAGCAGTGCAATCATTTTGAAATTTTTATCATTTACTTATTATGCTTCATTAAATACTTATACAAAATTTTATTAAAATAAAACCATTTAAACTGGGTGTTCGGATTTATATGTCACTTGGTATATTTGAATAAAATAATAGCGAATAAAAAACACGGGACAGTCGTGGGCATGTCCGCAACAAAGGACCAGGAGCAGAAATAGAAGGATTGCTAACCCGAGCGACGTACGTTTTTGCTAGTTGGCCTCTTCAGCTCAAATGGATGTGCATCGAAAACACCGAAGTGAAAACATAGCCTACAGCTGAGCAACAATTATTTCAACTTCTTATTACCTTGCTCACCATACTTTTCACATGACTATTACTATTCGGATTTCGGTTGGTAGTTTCGAGATGGAATGGCCAAATTCTAACCCATCCACCTTCTCGTGCTGTTGGAAGATTCCAGTCACGACCGTTTCCCCATGGCCTGTAGTCGTTTTTCTTCAAATCATCTTCCACCTACGAGGGACATACTTAATTAGTATGTACACAGTAATTGGGTATACTTCAAAATATTACAATTTGGTATACTGGTACCTTTGTTCCCACGAGATACTGCGGCGCAGCAAAATTTTTGCTATCTACTTGGACCTTTGGCAAATTGATATAAGATTCTGAAACAGAAGATTAAATTAAGTCACGCGTTTTTTGGAATGGCACTTGGTAATTTCTATTGAATACTTTTATAACAAATTCATACTCACTCTGTACGTTTGCAGAATTTACCCGGCTTTTGCTCCTAATAGCTGACGGGTTCCGTGTCACAGCTGATTTCTTGTGTTTTCTTCTCCATCTTCCTGCAGCATTTACTACTGAAACCGTGTTTGTTAGACTCATTTTGCAGTTCTGGTCATTTTTATTTTCATTATTCTCTTCAGTAAATATATCAAACACAGAAAGGCCGGTATTGTAGAGGGGTAGACCAAGGAGGTCAAACATATCGTGCAACATCGGTTTCTTCACTAAACGGTCTGCATCACAGTCGTTGCTCAGAGCTGGACTTAGATTAACCTGAAATACAGAACAAACACTTTTTGAAATTCGATGAACTTCAGAGACATTATACAGGGTGTCCCAAAAGTCGACGTCAAGCCGAAACCGGGTGATAGGCAAAGTCATAACAGCTATCAGAAAAATATTTAAAAAAACGTTATGTATGTGTTTTGAAAATCATAGGTCTTTGAAAAAGATATAGAAATTTCACACCCTATGGCAGTCTGTCAACTCCTGTTACTACAAATATTAACTTTTTTTGGATTTTATTTTTACAATGTAATGATGAATAATGCATCTTCAAACTGGCGTCTCAACCTTACTGCCAACTTTTCTAGTTCAGGAAAAATTGCCACTTATTTCCCAACCAAGTATTCCAAAGTAAAACTTTGCTCAACTTTAACTGGCTGTACTGGAAAAAAATGTACTACGAGAGTTTGGCAAGTAACTTAAAAGTTGGCGCATTTAATAACGATTCCAAAATGGTATAACACTTAGAAGATTACTCGTTAATTTAGGCACAATTTTTATTTGAAGAAAAACTGACGAAAATTTTTCAAAATTTCCTAATTAAACAGCGATTATGAAAACGCACAAGGACCCTTAAGGATAACTGTTTGCACAACAGTGGGCGTCAAAATGCTGCTGATGATGATTTACCTTTACACCAAATGCTCAAACTGTTTTCCTTCAGCCGCAATACACGCTCCACATCTTCTTAAAAAAGATCGGGTTATTAAACGAGCGAATCCACGGTTATTAACAAACTCAGCTGCTTCCAATAGTCTTTGCCGTAGCTCAGCCACATTTTGAATCGGTTTGAAATACACTTTTTCTTTTACAGTTCCCCAGTAAAAACAATCTAACGGATTCAAATCTGGTGACCGGGCTGGCCACGGTATTGTACCAGACCGCCCTATCCATCTGCCTGGAAAGTTTGGTCGAGATACTCTCTCACTGAGAGTGCATAGTGCGCTGGGCAGCCATCATGCTGAAACCACATGTCCCTGTAAATACTCCGTGGCACGTCCTCCAATGAATTTTCTAAATGATTTTGCAAAAAACCTAAATAAACCTCAGCAGTCAAAGTCTCTGGGAACTCAAACGGACCGATTATTTTACCATTTAAAATTCCTGTCCAATGATTTATCTTGAAGCGATATTGAGATTTATCTTCTCTCATCAAATGTGGGTTTGCTACGTGCCACTCGTGTAAGTTATACCAGGTTCATGTACCCATCTTTCTTAAATGTGGTCTCATCTGATCATAAAATTTTTTCAAAGAACCGTGGATCTTCCCTGTGTCTTTCTAACATTGTGAGACAAAAAGCAACTCGGGGCTCATAATCCCGGGGCAGAAGACCTTGAACACGCTGTACGTGGTATGGATGGAGCACGTTTTTTGCAAGATTCTATGGGCTGTACCTTTGGGCACACCTGTTTTTAGTTCTATTGCACGCACTGAAGTACTCGGGTTTTCTTCGACTGCTCCTAGCACCACGTCTTCGTAAGAAAGAAAAGATCTTCCCTCACCGTGTGATTGGTTTGGTAGTTGGCCCTCTGAGCGGTGGACATTTGTGAACACTCGATGATCTGGATGACGATCTGCATTCGGGTACCTCTCACAGTAAAGTCTCGCTGCAGCACTAGCGTTGCATCTGCATTCCCCATAAATGAGGTGCATGTTAGCATATTCTTGTACGGTGTACACGGACATAGCGGCACTGCACAATCACACTATCAAAGATAGTCTAAGGAAAGCAAATGTTGTTTTGAAGAGCAATTAAACAGTCCAAATCCAAATCACAAGCGATCAACAGTCCAGTTCACGAATCCAAAATTAGTAACAGTACGAAATCAACAAGCACGAACATGTAAAGATGCGCAGTAAACGAAGGAGTACTGATCGGTATCAAAGTGTGCAATAGCAAGTAAGTGATGTGCTTCATCCATACCATATACAGCGTGTTCAACCTCTCCTGCTCCGGGATTATGAGCCCCGAGTTGCTTTTTGTCGCACAATGTTAGAAAGACACAGGAAAGATCCACAGTTCTTTGAAAAAATTGTATGGTCGGATGAGACCACACTTAAGAAAGATGGGTACATGAACCTGCATAACTTACACGAGTGGCACGTAGCAAACCCACATTTGATGAGAGAAGATAAATCTCAATATCGCTTCAAGATAAACCATTGGACAGGAATTTTAAATGGTAAAATAATCGGTCCGTTTGAGTTCCCAGAGACTTTGACTGCTGAAGTTTATTTGGATTTTTTGAAAAATCATGTACAAAATTTATTGGTGGACGTGCCACTGAGTATTTACAGGGACATGTGGTTTCAGCATGATGGCTGCCCAGCGCACTATGCACTCTCAGTGAGAGAGTATTTCGATCAAAACTTTCCAGACAGATGGATAAGGCGGTCTGGTACAATACCGTGGCCAGCCCGATCACCTGATTTGAATCCTTTAGAATTTTTACTGGGGAACTGTAAAAGAAAAAGTGTATTTCAAGCCGTTTCAAAATGTAGCTGAGCTACGGCAAAGACAATTGGAAGCAGCTCTTTTTTAAGAAGATGTCGAGCGTGTATTGCGGCTGAAGGAAAACAGCTTGAGCATTTGCTGTAAAGGTAAATCATCATCAGCAGCATTTTGACGTCCACTGTTGTGCAAACAGTTATCCTTATTGTATGTGTTGTTTGTTGTTCTCGTAACAAACAAGTTCTGTTCACAGAATAACGCTCAATGACTCAAAAAGACTGTAATATATTCTGAATTTGTCATAAATTCGTTGCAAATGTTATGATAAATTAGTGGAAGGGTAAATAAATTACACTTTGAACAGTAAAAACGATGTTAAGAAAATGACAGAAAGGTTTGCAATCGTTTTCACCTTTTCCTAAATTTTTGGTGACCTACAAAGGGAGAACCAGAATTTCAATATGACGTTTCACGTCTCGTCCGTCATCATCAACTTTATTTTTCCGTATGGACGCGACACATTTTGCATGAGTGAATAGCGTTTTTAATTTTGGTTCCAAACATTATGTCATACGCTACAAGTGTAAAACTATGATTATCTAAAGAAAAAGCTTCTTAAGATAACTTCTTCATTTTCTTCATGATATTGTAACGAAAACACCGCTTTACTGTTTCAAGTCTAGTTTATTACTCGCACACTAATTTCTATCAACACTTGCGACTATTATTACAAATTTATAAACATGTCCACTGGACTATTCCATGCTAACTTCGGGCTGTTTCACCGCGCGAATTTATTTTTAAATCGACAAACTCCAAAAGCAATTTCACGCTTCCTAGGCGGAGCTAGAGCCGTCTGGACTGATGACGTTCGACGCTACGCACGAACGTTCTTGATGCGTGGTCGAATGATTGGTTGCCTAAACGTCGATGTTACGCAGGTGTTCCAGTTACGAGGGCTTCACAATATCATCTTCCATGCGTACAAATTATAATGATGCACGTAAGGCGGCACGGACCGATACTGTAAGACTTCAAATATCTTAAAATGTAAACTTCTAATGGTTGGTGATAACTCATCCAATTAAGAAAAACATAATGGTCACTTTTTACTTCCTACGCCAACTGGTAAACGCGAATGTTTTCAAAAATAAGATATTATGTTTTTGGGATGTTATATGACATGTAAATCACGAAAAATCATGTCACTCATTTCCGTCTGTTTGCCTGCCTAATCTTGCAATCGCCTATAACTTGAGAAGTACCGTTCGGATTCCGATGAAATTTTTACACAATGTTGCTACTATGCCAAGAACGCAAAAGCTTTGAAGCTTTTTAAAATCGGTCAAGTGGCGGCGTAGAAAAACGTCCAAAATAAAAATCGTTGGAACTTATTTTTTTTCTTTTCAGAAAGGTTCGCATATTTCTAAACCCAGTAATTCAACGCACATATAGGGACTTATTATAGGTGTCCCCTATCTCCTACATTCGGGTCTCGATACGTGCGGCGTCGGCCCCCGATGGACAAGCGTCGTCGTCGGTGGTCATAGGTTACAGTCGGCAATTCCGTACTGTGCCAATATCATCAACCGACTGACCATCGCTACGATCAAGTGCGCCTGCAGCAATTCCTGTCAGAAGGAGGGAGATGGTTATTTCATTTTTTTTTTCGTAGCGTGGGGAGTACAGAGTCAACTTACTTGACGCCATGTGCTATTCTATTTAAGAACATTAACGAAAACGTTGAACACGGTATTTATATAATATTAAGAGACTGATAGACACAAAGTCTAAGCGGAGTTGCAGGCTGCTAAGCATGTCCGTATTCGTCATATCTAAAGCGTTGCATATACCTTTTATTTTCAAATCAGTCAGTCGGGCTCAATGTTACGCTACTTAAACGGGCAAATGTGCTTTAAACATACTTTTCAAAAACTAAAGTGCTCTTTGACTAGTGATGTAATTGAACAAGAATGTGATAAGCTATCGTTGTCAGAGCCAACTACGTAAATATTAGTTTTATGAAATAATTGAAGTTTTGCAACGTCATTGTATGAAATCTTATACATTTCTGGAATGAGAATAAAAAATACTATTCACCTGCGCGAAAATCCAATATGCTACGTTTTAGAAAATAGAAACTGGCAATGTTAAAGTGTAATTTTTCAATAAATCCTATTTCCAATAGATTCAGAAAAAAATAAAAACTATTGTGAGAAAACCCGGCTTTCCGCATATCTGCGAAAATATTCTGAATTTCCATACTGTTTAGCCACCATTTTTGTAGTCATCTAAGAGCTTTGTTATCAGACGTTTCCACAATTATTGTAGTACGCCTTCATGGCCGGCTTGATTTTCATAGTCTATTCTCTCCTCCAGAAAGGCTGGTGTTTTTCTAGATTTCTGCTGTTCCGTGTTAAAGGAAATTTCAGGCTGATATAACAGATGATATAAATCAAAAGCATAAATAATTTGACGCAAATAGTTATTTGTGACATTAACCTTAAAATAGAGCACTGACACGGAACAGTAGAATACTATGAGAATCATGGAAGCGATAAAGGCTTCCTAAAGGAAGGGCTGATTATAGAAACCTAAATGCGGAACTTAGTCTTGATGTAACCGACCTCATATCTTTTACTGTTTCCGAGATCCCGATGGTCAGGGTGAACTTTGAAACACCAGTGCCAGTTTTACATACCTCTAGCAACCATGGCCTCAAGGACGCATCTATGAGAACATCGAATCCGAAGAACTCAAAACAGTTAACCGTTGGTGGTATCTGACTGACGTGGCTCAATACAGTCAAAACAACCAAAGAGGTTATTCTTTGCCACATCAGCCAATCTGATATTCCAGCTTGTTGGAAATATCTTCGCAGTTGCCTGAGTGTCCATTTGCACCCTGAAAACAAAAAAAAATATTTTTTACAAAAAACGTTCTGTGTCGGCAAAGCTGCCTTAGTCGTATACCAAATAGAACAGAGGTAGCATAACACAAGTGTCGAAAATGAGATATGATTTTTTATTTGTCATTTTATCACGACAAACTGTCACCTTTTTTCGCCTCTCTGTTAGTTGGCCGGTCTGTTTGTCTGCTAACTTTTGGACCATCTATAACTTCGAAAGCGCTGCTCGGATTTTGATGAAATTTTCGCAAAAGGTTACTACTATGCCAGGTTTTTGAAAATCATTTCAGTGGCGGTGGTCGTACAAGCAAAAAACAGAAGAATTAAATTCTCTCCAAATTAGTTTTTCGTTGTTTCAGTGGATCTTGATCATTTTGAAAACAATTTAGTGGTAAGGAATTGGAGGACGGGGGGTTGCAAGGGGTGAGGGAGGGTGTATCGCAATTGTTTGATTTTATGAGACATATATCACAGACTACAGATTTTCCCGTACAATTTCCCTAAAAATATGTTCATCAGCCTATCGGTCGCATATCCCGTACGCCACGGATTTATTTATAAATACTACATATTTGGTATTCGATCCGAGCAGCGCGGCGACATACGAAGTGAGCGCCGCGATTGATATGCGTTTTCTCCAGCTATCCAATGGTGACATTGGATTTGACCTTGAAAGTGTCATTTGAAAGTCGAACATTTTTTTCACGCAAATGAAAAGCGCAAAAAAGTTCAAATATGGACCTGAAAATTATTAAATTGTGACCTAAGGAGGTCATGATCAAGGTCAAACCCAGCTACGGTGATATAACCAGTAGTCGTATAGGAAAACTACCATGATGTTATTTTTTGATTTTCCCCGGATATCCAATGGTGACCTTGGAACTGATCTTAACCATGATGACCTTCCAGATCATGTAGAGGTCAAGTTGATTTTTGCAGCCAGGGAACGGGCTTGGACGAACAGTGAAGTCAGTTTACTTAAGGATCACACAGTTTTCTGAATTGTCAGAAACTGAGGTGATCTTGTGTTTGACCTTCATGGTGAAAATAAAATTTGCGATTTTCTCAATTTCCGCGGTCAAACGTATAGAGACTCGTTGAAAAAGAGTTGACCTTCGTATGACCTTGAAAAGAATGACCAACGTCAGATCAATCGCCATTGGATATCCAGGAAAAAAGCATGTAAATAATTTAATTTACCGTGTTCGATTAAAAAAAATCGACTTGACCTTCAAATCACCTTGAAAGGCTTCGTCAAGCTTGAATTCAAGGTTGCAGGGATTAGTCTTTTCTTTCCACAGGTTAACGCGGGGTTCCAGAACTTTTCAGACACTCTCTATAAGCGTTATTCATGGAGTGTGTGAATAGTGTTATTAGATTTCGTGACATAATACTATACAGGGTGTCCGCAAAGTTGGGGTTTTTCTTTAGACGACGTGCAAATCTTGAAAACATAAGCAATTTTTCTTAGTACCATATACACCAATGTCTGAAGGGAACCGAGATTAAGGGCTCTGCAATATCAAAAATATCTGAATACCATCGTGTAGCCGCGACACCACCGACTGGTACAAGGTCACTGGCTCAACCCGTCGACAGAACTGGGTCGAGGTCAGTGTGTCAGGTCAGTATGCAACCTTCAACCGACGGTTACGGTCACGCGTGTAGAGGTAATCGCGTAGACGAGAATCCCTCAACAAGCAATAGAGACGTGGCTAGAGAAGTGCAAGTATCAAAAACTAAAGTGTGGCAAACGCTGCGTGAAGAGGGGGGTGTATCCGTTTCACGTCCAACGTGTACAAGCCGTTCAACCTGACGACTTTCCAGCAAGAGTGCGGTTTTGTGAGTGGTTGTTGCATCAACATAACAATGATCTGGACTTTTTGAAGTGCATATTGGTGACAGACGAATCTACGTTCACGCGTAATGGGGTGAATAACTTTCGCAACACTCATGTTTGGTCAGTAGAAAATCCGCACGCTGTCCGTCGGGCACATTTTCAACAAACATTTTCGGTGAATGTTTGGGCTGCCATGGTGAACGGTATGGTCATTGGACCATTTATTCTCCCAAATCGATTGGGCGGGATGCAACACCTAGACTTTTTACGCAACATTTTGCCTTCCTTGTTTGCCTGCGTCTGCTCGGTAGCGCATCATTTTCTGTTGGAGCGGTATAATTTCGGGCAGAGACGTACTTAGCCCTTCTCGTCAACTGGAGAGTGAGTACTTTTTCCTTTATTTTTTTTACTTGGTCGCCCTCGTTTTATTACACATTACCTTTGTTATATCAAGGGTAGTTGTTTCTGAAAAGGAAAACCCCAACTTTGCGGACACCCTGTTATAGTATATGGGTATTCGTCAAAAGCTATTATAATCAGTTCTCAAACGTTGTTACCAAGCTCTACATGGAAAATTGTACCAGAAGTAGTTTCGTAAATATGTGAAGTGTAGAGTCAATCTACTAGCCGCCATTTTTTGGTCTAGTTGATAACTTTTTTGTATCGTATCACTTACCTGATCCTATTCTATCCTTCATTTCCGTATACCCAGGTCCTAATTTGTTAATAGAACAATTCGTCAGGTGTCGAAATGGGTTCCTTAAATCGCTTAAACTGAATTTATCTGTTCCAAATCGGGCTAGTCCTTCTCTGTACATGTAGATTGTCACTGGATGATATGAAGGAATACAAACGTAGAGTCTCAGATCGAATTTGTAGCCTCCTATCAACAGGGGCTTCTCGATATATCGTTGTACTATTGTATTCGTATCATAGTTCAATTCGCTAAGTTTCTGAAATGAAAACATTCGTGATTTATTAATTAAAACTCCTTAAAGCTATGTTCACATTAGTGCGCTCTCTAGGGATTTCTCTTTCGTCTTTAATATCAAAATCACCTTGACAAAGACAACTAAAACAACCACGACTTTTCCGCATTTTTCTTGTAGTGTTGTTATTTCTTAATTTTTTAATAACTCTTGCCAGATCCATTTTACTGTCAATGTATAAAATGATTTTGCCCTTAAATTACACCTCCCAACACCCCTTACTTTTAAGGTTCTTAAATGAAATACTTTATAATATATGGGGTTGTCCAAAATGGACGCAGGAAAGTAAACACATATTAAAACAAGAAAGATTGATATTTAAATCAAGTTGGGTACTTTATTTTGAAGGTTCATTTATACCATTTATGTATGAAAAATAATATCGCTAAAATGTTCACCACGACTGGATTTACAGACGTCCACGCGATGGTCGAAATGTTCAATGACATTTTGCCACATGGTCGGTTCTATGGCATTTATCTCGGCAATGATGTTGTTTTTGAGTTCTTGGAGGGTGGCTGGTTTGTTGACGTAGACTTTGCTTTTCAAATATCTCCATAAAAAGAAGTCCAAGGGAGTCAAATCGCACGATCTTGGTGGCCATGGCACATTTCCTCTGCGCGAAATCACGCGATCACCGAAGAAGGACTGCAATCGATGGATATTGACGTTGGTTGTGTGGCATGTTGCACCGTCTTGTTGGAAATAAACATCGTCTATATCCATTCCTTCAAGTTGCGGCAAAAAATAGACCTCTATCATCACGTGATAACGTTCAGAATTTACGGTAACGGCGTCCCCGGCCGCATTTTCAAAAAAGTAAGGTCCGATGATGCCTTTTGGCAACAATGCACACCACACAGTCACTTTTTGAGGATGCATCGGCTGCTCTTGATACTCACGAGGATTTTCGTTCGCCCAGATGCGGCAGTTTTGCTTGTTTACCGTCCCATTCAAAGTGAAATGCGTTTCGTCGCTGAACATGATTTTTGATGAAAAATTGGCATCAATTTGGCGGTGTTCAAGGAGCCAATCTGAGAACGTTCGGCGCGAAAAATGGTCGGCCCGACGCAGCTCTTGCGTCAATTGGATCTTGTAGGCGTGTACTTTCAAATCCTTGTGGAGAATGCGGAGCAAACTGGTTCTCGAAATGCCCAATTCTTGGGATCGACGCGTTGTTGATTGTTTCGGATAGTCTCTCACACTCTCCTTCACAACAGCAATATTTTCCGGTGTGCGAACGCTCCTTGGCCCGCCAGGGCCTGGCAAATTTGTCACAGAACCCGTTGCCTCGAATTTACGCACCAGACGACCGATGGTTGTTTCGTTTGGGCGGTTGTTGCGACCGAAATGTTCACGAAGCGCGCGAAACGTGTTTTTTATTTTTGCACCATGTAGTAGTGCTCTTGAATAACTTTAATGCGGTCTTCAATCGAATACGACTTCATAGCGATCAATGGTAAACATTCAACTAACAAAATGACATGTCGGTGACAGAAAACAAAGATGACGTCTATGTCAAATTGACATTTACTTTCCTGCGTTCCTATTGGACAACCCTAATAATAATAATAAAAAAAATAATAGGCACAGTCACCAATTTAACAAATCGTACAAACCCCGTATTTCTTGGAAATGAAACATGAGAACCCCACGAGGACTTTTGTTCAGGGCGTCCTTTCAATGCACGTTAGTCAGTTAAAACGATACTGTCTATAACTCACGTGAGATTTTCATGATAACTCACCCTAAATAAGAATATACCTCGTCCTTGGCTTTGAGCAACAGGTTTGCAGATCCATATCGGCTTGTCCTCGAAATATTTATCGTCTTTGCCGCTTCCTGGTCGACCTCTGCTGCATTCAGCAGCAAGCTTTGTGTATTCCAGCGGCAAATTATACCCATGAGGACTAAAAAATCGAATAATGAAGTCAATATCCGTCTTGCGGTCAATCCTGTCAGATTGTAGAACAATCTGGTCAAGGTTTTGGTCAAGGTCCGAAATACTCTTCAGGTTTGGACTTTAATTCGAATTCAAAGAATAATCCAGACTCTGACACAAACCAAGATTTGACCAATTAGTACTGCGTTTGATTAATTTTCTAGCATACGTAATATTGGGGGAATCCGGGAGACTTGCCCAGGTGGGAGACTTGCCCCTCCGTGATGAATTTACTTTAAAATTGAGCACCATAATCTGAAACGAGAGAAAACGGGACGTCCTCTAGTGCTTCTAGGCGTCTACGAAATCCTAGTTGACTTTTCTCAGTTTGTTTTGTATCTGACCCGAGGCATGGTGGCTTTTTGCGTTTAAACCAAAAATTAATATTTTTACAAATTTCGTGATTTTGTGGGCAAATTAAAAGGTAAGTTTTAGATTCTTGTGTGGGTATATTAATTATACATTGTAGATTTATGCACCATAAATGTTAAACATGCACTATTCATGATTTTTTAAACAAATTGAACCTAACCTGAAACAGAAAGGTGTGGGAGAGTGGCCCATACCTCAGGAGGGAGACTTGCCCAGAGGGGCAACTCTCCCTTTCTGATGTAATTCTAAATTGGTATTTGTTTTTAATTAATTTTAGTAAAAGTTGATGCATTTTTTTTATTACAGGTCTGTACAATGCCATTTAAGTACAAAACAAAAGACGGTTTCACTCGCAAAAAACTTGATAAGGATGTTCTTGAAAATGCCCTATATGAACTAGGAATTCTTCGAAAAACTTCTGCAAAATATGATATTGATCGGAAGACTTTGAGACGCTACAAAAACAATGAAAATAAACTTGAAAAAATAGAAACTAAAAGCCAGTATAATACTTCACAAATATTCACCATACAAGAAGAGAAGCTTCTGGTTGAATATTTTTTAAATTGTAGCAAAATGCACTATGGACTTACTCGAAAACAAGGAATGAAATTAGCTTTTGAGTTTGCAGTTTCGAATTCCAAATAAATTCCAGAAAGTTAGACAAAAAATAGATAGTATGGCAGGGAAGGATTGGTTTCGCGGTTTGTTATAAGAAATCCCGAAATTAGTTTGAGAACTCCGGAGGCAACAAGCTTGTCACGATCTACAAGCTTCAGTCGGAAGAATGTACACGATTTTTTTCAAAACTTAAGGATTTTAGGAGAAAAATTTAAGTTTGAACCACAAAATATTTATAACTGTGATGAAGTTCAGGATTGTCATAAGGTATTGGCCAGTAAAAAAGCTAAGCAGGTTGGTCAAGTTACTTCATCAGAGAGGGGCACTTTGGTGACAGTTTGTTTTGCAGTCAATGCAATTGGAAGCGTTATTCCACCCTTTTTTATATTCCCTCGTATCAAATATCGAGAAGACTTCGTTTCTGATGGCCCAGAAGGTTCATACTTTTTTAAAATTATTTTTATTTGTTTTTTGCATTAAACTTATGTTTATTCTGAATTCATAGATTTAGATTTAGTTTCTTACTTGAATAAGTAGTTTTTTGTTTTATTTTTTGAGTTTTTCGAATACAAAAGTTATTATTTACATTTGTTTTTATTTAATAAGGGGGGTGGGCAACTCTCCTTCTGACTATGGGCAAGTCTTCCGCATATGTGGGAGAGTTACCCATGTTTTCAAAAAAATAAAAAAACTATATATTTTTTTTCTGACTTATTTTTTTAAGGTTTAAATGATAAAACTAGGTTCCTAAAAATATATACTACGAAGGCATCTAAAATTTATTGATTTATATAAATAGAAACAAATTTTATCACCAATAATAAATTGGGAGGGGCAAGTCTCCCGGACTTCCCCTTCTAATAACAACCTTACCGGTGGTCTGTATCGGTTCGGGTTAAAATGAGAGTTAGAGATAACTCGGAATTAGTCTTTGTACCGTCATAGTTAACTCTGAGTTAAGGTCTAACCCTGTGGTTAAAATTACCCCTGACTTGAACAGCGTCAGTGGTAAGGTATTTGTTGATGGAACGCTAGGTTTCCTTTGGTTGTTTTATGATATTTTGTAACCGTCACGTTTGCGATTTTTTTTCGTCTGTGAATTAGTTTATGTAGAAATAACTTTCAAATTAAATGAGCTGGAAAAGATGAAATGTTATAACATTTTCATCACTTTGGGCCGTGTGAAAGATTCAATAACCATGCTACTCTGTTTGGGTCACTTTTCTCTGATCTCTTCAAGAACCAGGGTGCATTGTAGACCTTGCTAGATAATTTTGTCCAATGTATGATGGGAATTGTCGATAAACACAGTGAAAAATATTTTCAAAACAATTTTAAATATAATGGGTGATTTTTTTGCTACTATCTTTTAGGCAACACTGTTTTTGACAGATGACGCGTGAATCGTGTCATGTGTCATTATCAAACTTGTTCAGTTTGGTCTATAATTCAACCATGAATCGACTTACGAACGAACAACGCTTGCAAATTATTGAATTTTACTATCAAAATTCATGCTCGGTTAAGAGAGTACATCGAGCACTGCTTCCAATTTATGGGCAATTTGGTCGGCCTACTGAGGGAGCTATTCGGAAGCTTGTGACTAAATTTCGAACCCAGTTTACATTATTGGACATTAAACCACCAGCACGCAGACGTAGAGTGAGGACTGAAGAAAATATTGCGGCTGTATCCGCCAGTGTTAGTGATGTCGATTCACCGCCGTTCGCAGCAATTGGGCCTCTGTTACTCCACTACGTGGAAAATTTTGGGTGTAAAACCTTATAAGATACAGCTGGTGCAAGAATTGAAGCCACACGACCTCCCACAACGTTTCCAATTTGGTGAATGGGCGCTGGCAAAGTTGGAGGAAGATCCACATTTTTACCGAAAAATTGTGCTCAGCGACGAAGCTCATTTCTGGTTGAATGGGTACGTTAACAAGCAAAATTGCCGCATCTGAAGTGAAGACCAGCCAGAAGCATTGCAAGAGCTACCAATGCATCCCGAAAAAATCACTGTTTGGTGTGGATTATGGGCCGGTGGCATCATCGAGTCGTACTTCTTCAAAGACGACAATGGCCGGAACGTAACTGTGAATGGCGAGCGCTACCGTGCGATGATAACAAACTTGTTTTTGCCCAAAATGGAAGAGCTGGATTTGGCTGACATGTGGTTTCAACAAGGCGGTGCCACATGCCACACCGCACACGAAACAATGGCCCTATTGAGAGGTGAGTTCGGTGAACAGTTTATCTCACGTTTGGGGCCCGTCAATTGGCCGCCTAGATCGTGTGATTTAACGCCGTTGGACTATTTCTTGTGGGGCATGTTAAGGCTAATGTCTACAGGGATAAGCCAGCAACGATTGATGCACTGGAAGCCAATATTGAAGCATTTATTCGTGAGATATCGGCCGATATGTTGGAGAGAGTGTGCCAAAATTGGACCTTGCGCATGGGCCATCTAAAGCGGAGCCGCGGCCAACATTTACATGAAATAATCTTCAAACATTAAATTATATCGACCGTTCTATCGACTCAAATAAAGATTTAATCATTTTTTCAATTTTTTTGTGTTTTATTTGAAAATCAAATCCTATACCTATTAAAAAATCACCCGTTACAACCGATAACAGAAAAGAATAACAGAACATAAATCACAAGTAGTAAATGTCAAAACTCAAATCAATTTCAAATCATAACAAACTTTTAACACAGAAGTAGATTTTCTCACAATATCTCCAATAAATAAATTCACTGCATAGCACTGAAACATCCCTGTATTTCAGAGGCGACGTGACAAAAACTCTAGATTTGTAAACTCAGAGTTAGACCTTGACGATGCAAAACTACTCTAGTTTAACCTAGCTAAGTAACCTTCACTTTTAATCCAAAGCGGTGCAGGCCATCGTAAATCACTTAGCCGTTCACGAAACATATCGATACATGCATCTCGTAACCGACTTACTGACATCTTCGATTTTTAAGCGATATGGATAGATTGTATTCGATACTTTCAGGTCATGTTAAAACAATATCATTTTGTTAGTATAAATATTGAAAAAATGCGGTTTAAGAATCATTGCATCATAAATGAGTGGTTATTCTGTGGAGTGTGAGAACAATGAGTTACATTCTACTGATTAGGAATTGGGGAACAGTTAATATTGATTTTCTCTTAGAGAAAATATAAGCATAAAAGTTTTGATCACATACCTAAAGTCGTATATAGATCCATACACCTTCCTCATGCACCTTAAATATCTAACTAGGTTATCTTTTCTACATATCGTTGAGCCTTTTGGAATGTGGTTTATATACTGAAAGAATAAAAATTTAAAACACCTATTTCCTAAGATCTGTGTACTTTAACGTCGTATAAAGGGCTATACATTAACGTCACCCATAAGAATAGCTGGCCTAGCTGAGTCACTCGGTATATGCGTGAGAAGTAAACGTAAATAATTTTAGTTCACGTACTTGCCAAGCGTATAAACTTCGATGATGGCTTACAGGAAATCCAGAAGACCTCCACCATAAGTTCCAGCTTTCATTTAGTTCAGGACTGAACTCCCTCCATCCTCTCTCTAGACAAACCTAGAACAATAGGGGTCTAATTGAATTAATGGTTTAGGCACACAGTAAGTACTAATCATATGAAATTTGCGATTACAAGATAAAAAAATATTATTATTCCTGCTAGTCTTATCAGAAAAATCCCTTCTAATATTATAAATGGGAAAATCTGGATGATTGCTACTCAGTCATGCCAAATTGGCTGAATAGATTTAGAGAAAATTTGGTACAGACAGTCTGAAATAGCATATAGGCGACTTTTTGTCACAGGAAATAGCTTTGAAATATATATATATATATATACAGGGTGGCGCATCGAAAACGAAACAGACGCAGTTTCTGGCAGCTGTTTTTTTTGTAAAAACGCTCAGACCCGTCGATTTTGTTTTCGAGGGGGACATAAGTTTGGCAAAAAATCACGTTAACACGTGCAGCCTCCTGGGCGGGGGTGACACCAACCCTAAAATCTTACATGGAAAGAGGGATCGAGTGATACCTTATTTTAGGTCTTTCAATTTCCTTTATAATGATGTAAATTACATGAGCTTCAGTTCAGCAGTTTTGAAGATTTATTGATTTAAAGCTTAAAGTAGACTTTAATAGGTACATCAGACTAGTTTGTACTACTTTCAGAAGAAATTTTACTAAAAGAATTTAGTTAATAAGTAAATGCTTTTCTTCACTACGTCCATGGTTTGTTTATCATTTTGTTGTTGAAAATAGCTATTGGAGCGTTTTTTTGTGGCAAAAAAGTTATTTCTTGAAGAAAGACAGGGAAATATCTCGTACTTATTTTAAACAGGAATTTAGTACATAGTTTGCGATTGATTTGACCAAACTTTGTAGCTAAAATAACTTGTAACGCTTTATTACATAAATTCACCATGGTATATTCCACAGCAGAAAGAGTTGAAATTATCGAAATATTTTTGGGCAATAATCAGTGCGCTAATAGAACAGCAGAAATATTTAATGAGCGACATGAGAACGGTAACGTGCATCGAAAATATGTTCTAGAACTTGTAGCTAAATTTCGGAAACTGGGTCAGTCGCCAATAAAAAACGCAACATTGAAAATCCCACAAGGAGCTAAGCAATAGAAGTGGGAGTTTTAGGGCGAGTTTATGTAGATCCTACGTTAAGTACCCGCAAATTGGAGACTCTGTGTGGTGTTAGTCAACGTACTGTCCAACCGATTCTAAAGGCCCATGGTTTTCACCTGGTACAAGAACTTAATGAAGACGATTTTGATCGGCGATTACAATTTTGTGAAGATATGAGTGAACGAATTATGAATGATGAACATTTTCCATTCCACACTTGCTTTTCCGACGATGTTCTTTTTTCTTAAATGGCGTAGTAAGTCGTCATAACTGCCGATATTGGTCCAATTCTAATCCCAGAATATATCATGCGGTTCATACACAGCAGCTGGTATTTTTGGCGATAATTTAGTTGGTTCTTTTTTCTTACCTGGAAATTTGACCGGTGAAATGTATTTGGAATTGACCTTTCATGACCACCCACTTTACGTATGTTCAAACTCCTGATAATCACAATAGGTCAATACTAGTGAACAGGAACTTGAGAGAAATGCATTAACTTTATTGTGTTTAAAAATGTATATTGATAGGTACTGCAAGGTACTTGCTGCCACTGCCACTTATTGCTTAACCACCTTAGGCGCTAATGCGACGTTGCTGTTCGGTATTTTGGGAGGCCAGAAGATGAAGGAGGTATGTGCAACTTCGATGGCTAATATTTGTACCTCGGTCATTCCTCTGCCTAGCGCAGCATTTCGGGTGAATTATATTACTTGCAATACCTAACAAGTTTCTATTAACAATACATTATACAGTATGATCTTACCATAGTACAGTTCAAATGAAAAAACTGGATTGGTAATGTATCTCCAATCGCTTTCTAGTCGCATCACGCCGCCTCGTGGGCTCTTACCACGGTACCACCGTGCGAGGACACTGAACTAAACATTCGGGTCAATACTATCTCTGAGTAAGAAGGACACAAAGGTAGAACGGCGTCCCATATTTCGAATTTATAATTGTAATTCGTTCAACATTTGAGACTCGACAAAGTACTGAATGTGTTGTTCGCGAAAACTGAGCAATAAAAACGGATACAACCACACCACGGTTCACACGGAATGAAAAGCGCAAAAATGCGATTTATGTCGGATGCAATACGTTGAGGTAGGTGTATAATAGATATAGAACAATCATTTTAGATTTACAGGTGCACAAATATCTGACGAACGGTCGAAAAGCTGATCAAGGTTGATTCAAAATCTCTTTCTTTGCCGCCTTTAGGGGCTGGTGCTTATGATAGAGCTACAGTATATTCAGATAAGAGATAGACCGGATGTAAACAAAAGGTTCGGGTGATTTTCACGCTAACGCCGCCGTCTCGACGTAAAACAGGAGCCCTCATTGGTCAATTCGCAATTAAATGCCTATGCCGAGCGGCAGAGCAGTCGTATCAAGGCAGAGTCACATTCAGGTTCAGACGTGTTACGTATGTCGTGTGCATCATTGCAATTTGATATTTCTTTGGACGTTTTCGTTTGTTATCTTATTAAGTTGTTGAGTTTGTCGTTGTTATTGTTATACCTTGTTATTGATTGTTATTGTTATCAACTGCTTGCGCAAAATGCCCAGTAGTACAGATACTGCCGATGAAGTTGTAAACTCCTGTAGTCCACCTAGGAAACGCTCTAAAAAAAGACACCTGAGTGCAGAAATGAAAGAGGTCATTTTGAATATATATAAGATCGAGCGCGAGGAGAACGAGGCATCAACCATCAAAGAAATTGTTGTGAAGGTTTCTCACAAAGTTGGGGTATGTCGCGCATCAGTGTTTAATGTGTTAAGACAATACAAAAAAATCACACCTTTTCTGAGCCAATGACCAGTAAACATCGCAAAAGTATTGTTAAATCATTGGATGAAGCTGATAAGCTTGCGATTAGGAGGAAAGTGCATGAATTCTTCTTTAGGAATGAAATACCTACTATAGATAAAGTACTGCAGGAGGTAAATGGAGATACAACGTTGCCAAATTTCAAACGATCAACTTTCCATGCGTTACTGAAGCATTTAAATTTCAAATGGAAAAAACGGGGTCGTAATAGTTTACTACTGGATAGAGAAGAAATTGTGCTATGGAGGAGGGATTATTTAACAAAAATTGGGAAATATAGAAATCAAAACAGGAAGATTTATTACCTTGATGAAACGTGGGTAAACGCAGGACACACTACAAGTAAAGTATGGGTTGATGATTCTGTAACTTCATCCAGGAGGGCCTTTCTAGATGGACTGTCCACCGGATTAAAAAATCCAGCAGGTAAATACGAGTAATAGACAACAATCGGATGTTTTTCAAACCTTGGGAACAAGGTTCTAAACATTAATTTCAAGGGGCAGATAAAACATATTACAAGTAACAAAACTTTTATAACTTTCGATAAAATGCGTGGATGTTTTATTGTCATTTTCATTTGTTAGAACTTTTTTAAGCCATGTTTTTATGTGTTTTCGATATTTCAATAATTTTTTAATATAATCTTAAAATATGTCGAATATTATAAACTTAAAAAAAGTTACTAAGTTTTATATTGTGTACCGTTCCTAATATTTCTAATCATTTTAATTCATACTTTAAGCTTTATAAAGTTATAATTTGTTAATATTAACATTTGCGCGTATTTCAGGTTCCTGATCATTCATTTTTTAAAGGTTTATAACTTTAAATTAAATTGTGAAGCGCTGAGTAATCATACGACGTTCAATATTCTTTCTTTCAATATGACTAAATAATCCCAAAACATTTGAGAAAGGTTCGCTTATTGAAATAAATCTACACCAGTTAGTACTTCGATTTCCAGGTAAAGGGAAAAGGCTCATTATCTGCCATATTGGCAGTGAGGATGGATTTGTTGTTGACGGTCTGTGGTGCTTTGAGTCTAAGAAAACTGGAGATTACCACGAGGAAATGAATGGCGAATTGTTTGAACAGTGGTTTTCAAAAATTTTACCGAACTTAGAGGAAAACGCAGTAATTGTGTTGTATAATGCGCCTTATCATTCTCGAAGAATGGAGACGGTCCCAACAACGGCTTCAAGGAAAGTTGATGTTCAAAATTGGCTCCGCTCGAAAAATATCAACTTTGAAGAAGCAATGCTGAAAGTACAATAATTAAGAATTGTCAAGGATCACAAGGCGGAATATCAAAAATACGCCATTGACGAAATGGCAGCAAGTCAAAATAAAACTGTGCTCCGTTTACCTCCATACCATTGCGAGCTCAATCCCATTGAGCTCATATGGGCAGAGGTTAAAAATTATATAGCTAAGCACAATACAACTTTTAAATTTTGTGACCTCAAAGGACTTTTCAAAGAAGCACTAGAATTAATAACAGCGCAAAAATGGGAAAACTGTATTAAGCACGTGAAAGACAAAGTTGAAAAGAGAATGTGGGAACTGGACAATATTTTAGAGGAACAAGTCGAGCCATTCATTATTGACGTTGGTGCTTCAGGCAGTAGCGATGATGAAAGCTCATCAAGCTCATCTTTCCAATAAAAGATGTCGTTCATCAAATTCGGTAAGTTATAAGTAATTATAAAGCTACTGTATTTTTTAATTAATTATTGACATTTTTGAACCCATTTTGGCAAAACCTATTCAAGAATCTACTTTCTGACAATGTTCAACCATGCACATTTTTTTAAGTTTTGAACGTTTTAATTTGGTTACATATTTACGTAGAAATCAAAAAATATACTAATCAATATTATAAAAGCAATTTTATGAGATATACGATTACTTTTAATTTGGGCTAATTTAAACGCCATTTTGAGATTATATTTGACTGTATTTCACCAAACATCAGGCGGCATCCGAAGCTGGAAATCGAAGCGAAAATTTTGAAACCCTTATGTATATTTACATCATTATATATTTCTTACCCCACCCCCACATGATCCTATATCCATCACCAATCGTATACAC